CACCGCAGCCTCGACCTGCTGGGCTTCGGCGATCCTTCCGCCTCAGCCTTCCGTGTAGCCGGAGTTACAGGCGCGTGCTACCATGCCTGGCTAATTTTTTTAAATTTTACTGTAGAGATGAGGTCTCGCCTGCCCAGGTGGGTCTTGAACCCGCAGGCTCAGGCAATCCATTCACCTCAGCCTCCCAAAGGTGCGGAATTACAGGCTGAGCTTATCCCACCTCCATCTCCATCCCTCGTGGAGGGCTGCATCTGCAAGCCACATCCCTCTTCTCAAGTTTCTTTGTAGAACTGACTTTGCACGGGTGCTATTAAGTGAGGGTTTTCACCCAAAATTCTTGCCTGACTAATGCAGTGGAGAGAATGGTCCGTGAGGAATGAGGGCCACAGAGCTCCAGAACATGCTACGGGCAATCTCTGCTCCAGCCCAGGGGAAGGGCTGTGCGTTGGACTTCTCTGCCTGGTGGGTGTCCAGACCAGAGTCCGGTATCATCGCTAGTGGAGGACGGATTCATGAGCCTCTTGTCTCCAGGGGCCAGCCCTAATTTTTATCTGGGCTCCTGTTTCTTTTCCTCTGTATGTTGGCCTAAAAATGTTATATAATTTGGCTTGGGCCCAAACCATAGTTTGCTTGTTGGGGGTTGGGGGTGCTGACTCTGCTCGGGTGAACCTTTCAGTTGGTGGCCATAGTGGGGAGCTCGTGTTGGGGCCACTTCTGCATCCAACCTCACTTGCCAGGCTCCTTTGCCCCCACCCACGTTTGCTTTCTTTCTTCTCCACCTTCCCTTTCTCTTCTTCCCTGATTGTTCAGGCGCCCATGGGCACTGCCTAGCCCGCTGGTGGCTGGCAGGTTCCTGACCCCTCTGGAAGGCAAGGTATAGGGAGCCTCACCCCATGGCTTTCCTCTGTAGCTGAACCTCCTGATGTGTGGAAGGGTGGCCAACCTCCTGACCCCTGACCTCACCTTGTCGTTGTCGATTAGAGGACATTTATTTACAAGCACCAGGTCTTTGCCATGAGTAGCACAACTGGGAGTCTGGTCTGGCCCTGAAGACATTCTCGCAGCTAAAGAATTCCAGTAATCTCATCTGTTCTTATCATTTACAGCGTGGTAGAAGTACATGAACTAATTCTGACATTTTCTCTCATCCATCTATTACTAAAACTGGGAGTCCTTCCTTAATAATCTCTTTTCGGTGTTCATGCTTTTCCATTAGCCTCAGATACCTAAAACAATACAATGGCTTATGTGCTTTTAATGACTCTGAGATGTGTGTGCTCTTTTGGCTTGGTTGCCAACTCAAGAGAATTCCTCTGGAGGATCATGAAAGAAGAGAGATGATTAACGTCCATTCTTACTAGACTCCACCAGTGATGACACTAAATACTGCTTGTCTTTGAGCGGTGTAGGGATGTTTTGTTATGTGGCATATTTCCATTTCCCTTTCTAAGTAGGAAGTCAGCTTTTGTGATTGTTTGAGATTTATATCTTTCCTCTTTTCTTCCCCGGTAGAGTTGAGAATTATGGCTGCCGGAAAATTTGCAAGCCTTCCCAGAAACATGCCAGTGAATCACCAGTTCCCTCTGGCCTCGTCCATGGACCTTCTGAGCAGCAAGTCCCCTCTCGCTGAGCTCCGCACAGATGCCTATCAGGACGTGTCTATACACGGCACCCTTCCACGGAAGAAAAAGGGCCCTCTGCCCATAAGGTCCTGTGACGACTTCAGGCACATGGGCACCCTCCCCCACTCCAAATCCCCACGGCAGCATTCGCCTCTGACCCAGGACGCCATCCAGGAGAACCCACCACAAGACTGGAAAGGCGAAGCCTTCGCTTTCAGGTATGTTCTATATTTTCACAAGTGAAATGATTTGTCCTGTTTCTAGGAAAAATGTCAAACATATTGAAAGCTGAGTGAATAGTTTATCTCCCATGGACCCACCACCCAGCCTCAACAGTTATCAGCTCATGGTTGTCCTGTCTGGTCTTACTCCTACCCACTTCCCACCTTGCTACTATTTTGAAACAAATCTCAGAGTTCATTTTATTTTATCTAAAGATTTTGGGATGTTCCTTTCAAAGATAAGAAGTCTTATTTTTAAAAACGATATAACCACAATATAAAAGCCATTTATTAATATTATCTAACACTTTGAAGGTGTTTTAAAATCCAGTGTCAAGTTCCTCTATCAAGTCCTTAAAATAGGCTGGGCTTGGTGGCTTAGCCTGTAATCCCAGCACTTTGGGAGGCTGAGGCGAGTGGATTGCCTGAGCCGGCGGGTTCAAGACAGCCCGGGCAACTTGGCAAGACCTCATCTCTACAATAAAATTAAAAATAACTGGGCGTGGTAGCGCATGCCTGTAGTTCCGGCTACTTGGAAGGCCGAGGCGGAAGGATCGCTGGAGCCCAGGAGGTCGACGCTGGGTGCATGCCATTACACTCCAACCTGGGCAACGAAGTGAGACTCCAACTCAAATAAAAAATAAAAGAAAGCACAAGGATTTGTGTAACCATAGCATCAGATTCTGAATGACATCCATCCTAGAGATGCCAGGATGTCTATAGATTAGACCCATAACACCTTATATCTAGTTGTCAACATGTTGAAATACAATTTTGTATAGATGCACCCTCAGTCTTCAGAATACTTTAGGATGAGAACTGATTTCCCCCCTCAGTGACAGGAATCTGGGTTAATGAGCCTTATGGTTACAGTGCTTTTTCTCAGGGTTTGTAATGGGCCTATCTGTGTTTGGTTTCTGCTTGTTAGAGCTAGTTTGGAAACTCTGCACTCCCTTTCCTGCTGGGGAAGATCAGCAACCTTTGATGGTATCTGCTGAAGAATGGGGCAGTTTTGTTGTCTCTCTTTTTGTCCAGCCTTCTAGCAAAGACAGCCCCTTTGATCCTAGCTCATATATTTGTTCAATATCTATACATCAAGCAGCGATGCTATTGAGAGTAAGTTGATTGTATAAGCCCCAGGGCTTCATCAGGAAAATCCTGCCTAGTCCTTCTGATTATCTTAACCAATGGGCTGGTCCAGCACTGAAGACATTTTAGCAGCCAAATTGTTACAGTAATCTGCTCTTGCCCTTTCCACAGGGTGGCGGAAATATGTGAGCTAAAGGTAGCCATGGAAAGTCTGAAGCAATATCTTCCCAGGGTGTATATCCTAGTGAGGGATTTAGATAATAAATACAAGTAAGGGAGACAACTATAGGCTATAGTAAGTGCTATAGAAGAAATGGAGTGATTGGTGAAGATTGATTGGTGGTGGTGTTTTTTGTTTTTTGTTTTTTGGTGGGGTGGACAGGTTTCTGAAGAGATACTGTTGAAACTAAGACTTGCATCATGAGGGAAGGCAGCTGTGGGCCTTCCAGGCTGTTCCAGGCATAGGGAAATGGAGCATGAAGAGCTGGAGGTGGGAACACATTTAGCATGTTTGAAAACCCCAGAAGGAAGCTGGTGTGGCTTGTGGCTGGAGTGTCACCTTTTGAGAGAACAGTCTTGATAATAGCAGAGAGCTAGGCCAACGTAAGTTCAGAATTTGTTTTAGTTCCATATTTGCAGCAATACAAGGAGAAAATTAAATAGAGGCTCAGAAATCCTCTGTAGAGAGCATTGAAGAGCCCTTAACTGTTTCTGACACTGGAGTAGAAGGTACCCCAGGCTATTCTGGGCCTGTACTGTAAAATCTAGATGGGTGATCTCCCAACTCAGAGAGCTAGCAGGCAGCGCCAATGAAACAGGTGGATTTGGAGGTGCACACCTGCACACAGGACCGCTAATGTTGCATCACTGGCACTTAATGGGTGCGCTTAATACAACAAGGATGGGTGGCTCCTGGCATGCCAAACATGAGCACAAATGCCAGGCTGCTCGGGGTGGAGTCAGAACCGACTGCTACCTGGCTTACTGTGGACCACTGTTGATTTATTAACTTAAACTCTGCACTGAGCTAGGAATCTACTGGGTACTCGACACAAACGATTCACAGACTCCTTGAAGTTCTGAGGCCTGGAATGGTTGGCAACTCTTCCAAGGGAAACTCCACCGAGGGGGCTGGGAGGGGAGACAGTGGTAATGGAGTCACTCTTCCTACCTTGAGAAAGCTCTTGATAAACACCTATGACCCAAACTGTCACTCTGCCAGGAGTTCAAAGCTTTTTGGTTTGAAAACTGGCTTGGACAGAGGTCACATCTCTGTAACAGATCTTTTCGGAGAGTGGATGCAAGAAGTCCTCAGTTTGAAGTCCAGACTGTGGAACACCTAACAAGCACTGCTGGCTGTGGGTTGTTTATGATTCAGAGCTACTTAATCCAAATTCGCATTTTTTTCCTTAACTTAAAATATCTTACTGTTAAAGATGAACACAGGAAGTAACAGATGCATATCTTTTCAAAATTATGCTGAATGAGAAGACACATGGTTGTGTGTCAAAAGATCATGAAGTCCTGCTCCACCCCATACCATTATTAGTACGCTTACTTTCCTAACACTTTTTTTTTTTTTTTTTGAGTTGGAGTCTCACTCGGTCGCCCAGACTGGAGTGTAGTGGCTGTTCCCGGCCACCGCCAGCAGCCTTGCCTACTGGGCTCCGGTGATCCTTCCGCCTCAGCCTTCCAAGGAGCCGGAATTACAGGCATGCGCTACCACGCCCAGCTGATTTTTTGATTTATTGTAGAGATGAGGTCTCGCTGCCCAGGTGGGTCTCGAACCCGCGTGTTCAGGCAATCCACTCACCTCAGCCTCCCAAAGGCGCGGGATTACAGGCTGAGCCACCGAGCCTGGCTACATTTTTTTTTTGTGAGTTGGAGTCTTACTCGGTCACCCAGACTGGAGTGCAGTGGCACGCTCGTGGCCACCCCAGCATTGACCTGCTGGGCTCAGGTAGTCCTTCCGCCTCAGCTTTCCAAGTAGCCAGAACTACAAGCACACGCTACCATGTCCGGCTAATTTTTTGATTTATTGTAGAGATGAGGTCTCCCTATGTTGCTCAGGCCATTCTCGAGCCCATAGGCTCAGGCAATCCTCTCACCTCGGCCTCCCAAAGTGCTGGAATTACAGGCTTGAGTCACCACACCCATCCTAACACATTTTTAAAATCTCTTGAGGTGTTTCCAATTTTGAGACGTTCAAAGGACCTTATATTATTTTTCTTTAAAGTATGCCTGATAAGATTATGAGCTTCCTTAATTCCTTTTCTGAAACCAACCGTGATATGAAAAAAGGTTTTGCATGTGAGAAGCTGGGGACATGCAGCGCAAATGATAACCTAAGGGCCCAGAAAGGGAGATTCAGTGAGAAAAATGGCAAAAATACAGTGAGAGAGCAATAGAGGTGTTCCTCCTTCAGCTCTTTTGGTTTAAGGGAGCTGTGAGCCGCCAGCCAGTCACTCCACCCCACTCAACTCTTTTCTTCTTTTCGTAGTGAATTCAGGGGTTAACTTCCATTGACAGTGATTTGCCCACATGTAAAGTCTGAAAGTCGTGCGTCTCAGCATGCTGGGTGTTGGCACAAAGACAGCAGTCCATCTGTGAAAGCCCTTCACGTGCACCTGACTTACCCAGGGGAAGCCCTCCAGACAAGCACCTCCTTTGTCTTGGGAAGGACTCTGACTTTTTGCAAGTTTGCTATTTTCCCAGCAAATATGTTTAGCTCGTTAATCATTACAAAGTCACTTTTATTATAATTGAATCTTAATTGAACATCTACCCTGCGGGAGGCCCTAGGCAAAGCAGAGGCGGTCTCCCCCTTGACCTAAAAATTGCATTATTAAGCTGTCATACCTTCATGTATCATCTCCTCCTGAATTATTAGTATCTCTTACATTTTATAATTTTAAAATATCCTAAAGGACAAAGTTCATAAATTGCCTTGTTTGAATGTTGTAATCCTGTGTGAGAGACATAGAAGATTTCATCATAAATGTCATGATCATCATTATTTACAGTTGAGAAAATGGGTTCAGAGATGTTGAGCTGCCGAAGATCATACCCTAATGGATGACAGAGCTAGGATTAGAACCCAGAAGGTTCTGTGGGCCTTCCCAAACACTGTGCTCCAAGCCTCCCAAGAATGGTGGCATCAGCTGGGGCATCCCCTGAGCCATCTTCTTGCACAGGATCCTGAATGCAGCCCCTCGGACACCACTCCCTTTGGGAAGAATGGAGCCTTGGCTGCCTAGAGCCAGGCAGAAGGCAGGCCTGGAAGGGGGTGTTGGTCTTCTCTTTCAGAGACTATATCTCTTAGCTTTGTTGCAGTCTTGGCTGCCCTTGGATGTACTTGTGGTTTTGAAAGGTGGCCAAAGCCAGAAGCCAGGGAGCTCTTAGACCTGCTGCCTGATGTCACAGAAGGAGTCTTTGTTCTGTAAGCGGACTCAGGCTTCTTCGAGAGGCCTGCAGACAGGATTTCCTCTTGACATTAGTGTCGCTCGGCTGATGTCCCTTTGATTCCTTTATCCTCAAGGATAAACTTGTGTTGGAATCTGGGACCCTCCTTGGTTGAGAGGGGACCGGTCTGTTGTTAGGATGTCTGTGTTGCTGGGATGGTAGAGGGATCGGTACTTGGAGACCATTCAGGTCTGTTTCCTGCCTGGGTATGTGGAGGCATGCATTCTTGGGAACAGCTGCTAGCGCCTCATTCCTTCTGCCCCTTGTGCTGTGGGAGCATGTGCTGGGACAATGTGGTGTTTCACTAGTTTGCATGAGTAGAGCTGACTGACTTGTCACAAGTGTTTTAACTGACAGTGGCCAGAAGGTCTGTAGAATTATCCCTAGTTAAAGTCGGGTGCACTTTCCCAGGCAGTAAGAAACCTGCTAGGTCACAGTGTCAGATC